TTAAAACACGCTAATGTCTTAACCAATAAAACCTCTTTAAGACTAACTTTGCAATTTATCTAAATTGTTTGTTCCATTAGCTAAATAAATGCAGCATATTTTTACAAGCTACACTGCAGAGACATTCACTGTTAAATGTTAAATCTTCACAGCATTCATAAGATGTATAAACAAATAAATCAAGCTATCCTTTCAATGACACAAAGGATTTTCATTTTTATCTCATATATTAGACATCTCAAAACAAATCCATCAAATACCAATAAATCAACACCAGTCTACACCCTTGCTAATGGAAATAACTCTTGTAAACTTCACAAATTGAGGCTCATTTATTAGCATTAAAAGTGACCAGATATGTAAAGACACCCACCTACACAGTATAGCTGCATACATTTGCATAATGAAGCCAAGAAACTGTACATATCTCATTAGTATAATGTTGGTCTCTGTAGGGTTTTGGCAAGGATGATTTGATGGTAATAAAAAGTCTTGAAACACTAATAATCATAATGGATTGTCCTTGGCTTTAACTATTCAAGACAACCTTTAGTAACTGTAATGCCTCTTGTCCAATCTTTATCAAATCAGATAGAAATACACCAATAAAATTAAACATACATATAAAAACTAATAAAGAGGAGTGCAAACATTTGGCATTGCGAGGGTAGCTTCCAGTTTAACATTTGTATTTTTTGTGTGGCAATGCCCTTCAAGCTGTCACTTTATATTAAAAAGAAATATTAAATTTTTGGTACTCATTGACTTTATTGATTTTGTGTCTCTCCCTAAAGCCTTCTCTAAGCGCTTGAAAGCCCCTGTTCTAAGCCCTGTACTCTAAATTAAACCTATACAGTACAATAATACACTGACTGCAGAGAGTCAAGAATTTGCATAGTGTTCATTATGGCTAGTAATTACAGGGATACATATTTGAAATTGCATGATCAATTCCACCCATTGATATAATAAGGCATGGATGCAAATTCAGCAACTTTTAAAGAACCTGTTAGCCAAGTGTATCACAGAACTATGCTATTGAATAATAGCTCTTAAGTAGTCCGGTATGAAAAATGTAACAGCCTCCTTTATTTTCCCAATAGCTCCAAGCAATTAGGTCCCTTATCATGATTAACAATAACATTTTCTTTTAAATAACTCCTGAATTGAACTGGAATGGAGAAACAATTTACAGTTCCCATAAGTATTCGTATGCATAGCCTATACTTTAAGCCAAGGAAGAGAAGTCATAAGCTGTACACTGCGGTCCATGTGGGTCCTAATGCCCCAGTATAGTGATGGGGACACTATACTGTAAACAGGCGCCGTCCTTCGGATAAGATGTAAAACTGAGGTCCTGACTCTCTGTGGACATTAAAAATCCCAGGGCGCTTCTCGAAAAGAGTAGGGGTGTAACCCCGGCATCCTGGTCAAATTTCCCATTGGTCCTTACCAATCATGGCCTCCTAATAATCCCCATCTATGAATTGGCTACATTACTCTGCTCTCCTCCCCACTGATAGCTGATGTGTGGTGAGCATTCTGGTGCACTATGGCTGCCGTCGCATCATCCAGGTGGGGCTGCACATTGGTGGTGGTGGAGGGGAGTCCCCATTAACTGTAAAGCGCTTTGAGTGGAGTGTCCAGAAAAAGCGCTATATAAGTGTAAGCAATTATTATTATATTTGACATTATCGTAAATGTACCACTATAATTTGAGCCTAAATTTGGAAATGCAAATTTGAAGATGTTTACAGTCAAAATAAAAATGTTTTAAGAAAGTGTAAACTAGAAATAAAGAAAAATGGCCATGGTAAAGTTCATTGTGATCAACCCCTCTTAATGCCATGTTGGCATTGCACTCAACCCTCTATCTTCACCATGCGAGTTGGATGCCCATTGGGGTGGGTTCTTAAAATTGGCACAGAAACTCTTTCAGATTGAGCCCAGTTGGATCACATGGGTAGCCTGGCTGCCAAGTGATAGCTGGAGAAAACACCCCCAGCCCTCGAGTTCACATTTTGGTCATAAGTAATAGCAAGTAAGAGGGTATTATTGGTGGATGGGAGAATGGTGTGGTATCCCCAGTGCTGTGCCACTCTATAGTAGTGAAGGAGAAGTTGAGTTCTTGGACAAAGCTCTTTATCCACCATCCAGCCCACGGGTACAAGCAGGAGAAATACGTTTTTTTTCACTGGGCTGTTGGACTTCTCCGAGACAGGGCGAGAGGCTCAGCTCTTCAAGAGAGCTTCAAAGTAGAGCCTATACTCCTCCAGTTCGACAGGAGCCAGTTGTGGTGGTTTGAGCACCTGGTCTTCCTGGAGGTGTCTGTTGAAACTCGACGGGATGTCCCGATTACGTGAAGACCACATGGCCAACCCCGTGCACAGCAGACAAAAAGATGTTGAATGTGACCTTTTTCACTATTACTTAACATTGCTTAGGAAGATTAATTATTTTAATCTGGAAACATAACAATAATGTACTAAGAGAATTCCTACATTAAGAGCATAATGAATATTGAAGCTAATCTATGAAACAAACTCTTCTGAACAGATACTGTCCACAAGACAACTTCAGACCTATTAAAAATGTAAGACATCAAAGTTAAGAAGGACTGAATGGGTTTGACAGCCTTTTTCATGCACAACTCCAAAGACATTCCAAAAATTGATTTGGCTTGTCCAATCCAGTATCTAATGTACAGCATGGTCCATTTATGACAGATTTTGAATCTGGCAGCTCCATCTATTAGACCTTTTTGTCTTGTCTGCCGAGTTCTAGGTCTGAGTTCACCCTTAGTAGGGGAAACATGGCAGATCTGTCTGAAACAGTAAGTGTCTAACCTTAGTCTGATAGGATACATAAACTTGTTAAGGTGTAGCTGTCACCATAGATTACACACAGTAATGGGAAGGCTACAAATGGGAGTTAACAATTAGAACAAATTCTAAAGTAAAGCAAGATTTTCTGCCAGCATGAGTTGGAAGAAAGTGGTCAAGTACAAAAACCAAGAAATATTCATCAGTGAAAGGCTCCAATGAATTAATTTTCACCCTGAATGATACACAGGAGCAGAAATGTTTGAAACATATACTGCCATTAAACATTTCATCATAAACACATCATTTTGTGCAAAACACCACAGAAATGGGGTGGAAAGGGCATGTGACAATTACCACAGCTGTGCTGTACAGCTTTTCAAAGAGAAAGAGGCAAATATTCACAAAATGGAATTCAAGCCAACTACTAAATGTACAGTTTTAGTTTACATGTAGTAACATTACATTTATGAAGAAAATATTAAAATCCTATGGGTCTAGTACACACAATGAATAGCATACTCTCAAACTTTCCAGTTAAGTGATAATGCTCAGTTAATTGAGAGAAATGAGCTTTTGTGATCGACAGCACCTCTTCCTTTCCCCAATTTACTCTTGGGGAAAAAAATATAGGGTTTCCGGTGTGTTTCACTAGCCATCTTCAACTGAATAAGGGGACTAAACCCAGGAAAAACAAAACAAAACATCTTCCCTTTCATGTTGCATAATGCTTCAACACAACACACAACAGGTGTTGTTATACTAAATAAAGCTTGCCAATCTTGCTCCTCAGCCTCCCGAAACAAAGTCTTGGGAACACCAGGCTCCATACAATGTCCTTGTCCAGCTCCTGTGATGCCCCTCAGTATAGCCTCAGCTACATTTTCACCAGCATTTCTTGCTGGTCGAGACCCAAAGACCCTTGAACCTGCCCCGTCGATACTAATGAGAACTCCATTCTGGAGCTCTCACACCCCCTGCTTCCAGACTGAAGCCTAGTCACCCATTTCCTCCCTGCTGTACTTACAAGCCTCTTTATTAGCACAGAGGAGTGGCTTATTCCATCCACAGCCTACCCTTGACAGCTCCTTTTCCTCTTGTACTCTAATTTCGACTGCTGGGGAAGCTCTTACATGAGCCTTACATTAACCAATATTACCAACAGGAACCTAAACAGCCTAAATTAAGGACCGTCACAACTTTCAAAGCTAGATAAACACCAGTGTTTAAGATTTAATTCCTAAAAATGGGTTTAAAGGTTTCACAAATCTAAAACAATGTGTTAGTGTAAAGCTTTGACTTCACAACAATGTTTCATTATACTTATGCAGCAGAGTTGTTGAATAATGATGCACATTTTGATTTAAATTGAAGTTAAAGAATGCCTTTCCTACAGTAAGTACCTGAATGGTTACCTTAAGGACTTCCTGTGTGATTATTCAGGTCTAACCCCATAATCTACTTTATTCGAAGATTCTTATTCTGCTGATCACCAGACCCCATACAGCAACATTCTTTTGAGGAGCGCCATATCTATGGAACTTAGTGCCCAAATCACTTGTCAAAACTTGTTTATAGACCTTATTTACAGGCCTACAGACTTTGTTATGTGTAATTAATTCTGACCCTTGGTTTCACTAATTCAGTTCGGTATACTTTTTATTTCACTTTCTTCTTGCTTCAGTTGTGCTTGCTACGGTTCTTGCTACGGGTGCAGAAATAAAAATGTATTATTTTATTGTGCAAATTTCTGTTTTGCATGTTGCTTTAAGACACTACAATTAAATTTAAATTACAAATTGATAAGACTGTCAATCCTCAAGTGAGGAATTTCCACCTCAGAGGATGCTGGCATATTACTATTCTTGTTGCTGCTGGTAAAGCTGAAAATGTGGTAAAAGCACACTTCTAGTATAAATCAACAAAATCATTCAGTAAGAGCCACACTCTGCTTCTCTCCAGTCACTTCAGATGGTTTAGAATCAGTGGGGAATGGACAGATGAATATAAACGCACCATAATGTACATAGCACTGAAATAAATATGAACTTAAATCACCGAAACTAGAGGAAAACATGTCTAAATATAAAGACTTGATAAAAAAAGCCATCTTTATCTGATGGCTTACTTGCTGCTTGGATTTTTAGACTTCATTTCACAAATCCGTTGTGTCCCCAGCACACATTTAATTCTGCGTTCTGCTATACACAAACAAGTACAAACAGATTACTGAAACCAACAAAAATCAGAAAAAAAATTGCTAAATATTTTACTGTATGTACAGTATATCACACATTTGCTATTTGATGGTAAATTTTGCTCATTTTATTTGCATTTTAAATGTATAAAATACCCAGCATCTCCAAATACTATATACCTAAATTAAAACTACAATACTTGTATTCTTAATTTGTGAAATGCATCAAATTACTGTTTAATGAAATAGAAATGCAATTAATATTCCAGAATAATACAGGTAATTATAATAAAAACAAGATATTAACTTAACTTAACCACAAAAAAGAATGGCTTAAAAAAGTGATAAGAATAAATTAAAAATAGAACTTATTGTATGTCCTGAAAGACAATGCACTAAATTATTTATTAATTGCATTTTATTCAGAAATGTCCCTTAAAATGTATTTTCAAAAAATACAGATTTTTATACATCAAAGTCATTTACAAAATTGTTGACACCCACCTTAAAAATTAATAAAACAAAATGTCAGTTTCTGGTTTGTGATGAAACAAATTAAATAAAATACAATGTTTTACAACTAGACATTTTTCCTAAAATACCCAAATGTATACATAACTACAGCTTAAAACAGACATCACATGAAGTGAAGCACTGTGACAATGTGTCAGATTCTGCTTGGTGTCTCGTTGCAAATCTTCAACAGCACATCCATTTATGAAAAAAGTCATCAACTTGCAATGGTGACAATGAGCAGCATATAGATATACTGAAAATTGTAAACCACTCAGTCTTCAATTCTTCTTGTGTACAGTATATGCCCACATAATCTACACCATGGTGTTTTTGAACTGTGTGCTAATGGATGGCAATGATGAGAAACCACTCCAGCTATAAATTGTTTTCAAGTTTTCTTCAGGTAGGAAGAAGAGGTTTAGCTCCATCTACTGTGCAGAATAAAAACATTCAGCACTGCTGAAAGATTTTATAATCCACCAACAGAACAGATTTGATTTTACAGAAGACCAGAAATTATTTTATAACATAATTGTTCTTAAGCACCATCATTATATTTTCTGATGAAAACAGAAGCCTAAAATAAACATTGTAATGGCATTTGAAGACCTATCATAACTCCCTATTGCTTAATATTCCAAATACATGAAGGTACTCTAGTAATGCTGTATTATGGCTTTTCTGTAAGGTATCAGTTCAATTCTGCATATGCTGGTAAAGTGACAAACTAGCAAATAGGTCAATTAAAAAGAAACCACAAATACATTTTGTGTTAATAAATACGATTTACAGCAATATACAGTTGATTGTACCATATAGCCTGGTGTCACACAACGTATCCCTTTTAAAATACTCGCCTGTGGCAAGCATCATAGTAATTAGTGCTGTTAAAAATGGCAAACATGTCCCTCTTTACAAAATTAAGAAAGTTTTGGAAAGGGCAGAGTGGCTCATTGGAAAGCGTGTTGTGTTTCTGGCAAAAGGAAGTCAGAAAGGTCACATCCTGTCCATTGTACAGAATACGGACATACAGATTTTTTCTGCCCTTGGGGCTTCTCCACAGCTCAAAAACCATGCGGGCAGCAAACCTGGGAAACCTGGCTTCAGACAGCCCTAATGCGCTGAGCAAAGGTGCCACTGTGACATCGTGGGCAGAGAAAAGAGCGAAGAGTTCCTCTTTGTGTCCCTCAGCGATTCTCTGCATGCGCGAGACTGTCTGGTTCAGGAAAGGGTGGACGGCCAGAATGGAGTATTTGTAATACAGTTTCTTCTCATGCCTTTCCTTCTCATCGTCCAGCTGATGACCCTTAATGACCATGAAGTGTTCCAGGCTGATGCAGCCATTGTGAGTGCAAGGAAAGGTGATGTTGTGACAGAAGTGGCACAAGAGAGAGTCAATGGGGTTGGCTGCTCTCAGCTGCCTTGTGGGGACGCCCACTATCTTGGCCATTTCCACGTACGTCTGCTCCAGGAGGTTGTTCTTCACCCTCAGACTGAACTGCCTCCTCTGTTCTTCGTCGAGGTAGTGGTTCCTCATTGGACAGTCACAGCTACTGGAGCAGAAGATGGTGCTCCACTGGTGCCTGATGTTGACCCTCTGCCAATCAAAATCGGGAAGCAGGCCATACAGAAGGGCCAGGCCGCTCTGAAGGGTACGGCTCTTGCCGGTGGATTCTATGTACAGGTGCTTGCTGGCCCAGTTGCTGGGCAAAAGTTTGTTTTTTTTTATATAGGTACTACGCAGGAACTGACCATTGTGGAGATGTTGTACAACTCCTGCAACAAGAAATATAAATATATGTTTAGAAATAACAAGCTGTAACTGTACCATTTCAGTACTCTGTCCTACATTTTCTTGAAATTATTCTCACCTCTCTTACATTTTGGACATGGTGGAACAGAGAGTGCTGAAGAAGGAAAGCACTTCAGTTAACAGGACCAATAACAATTGTAGGAGGGAAAGATTAAGAAAGATATAACTTTCAGGCAACCATATTGATTCCCTTTGCAGTTTGATAACTCTTTTGCCATGATCAATACACCTTACTCCTGAGGGCTGCAGCAGACTACATTTTCTCCTGGTTAAATGGGTTTTAAAGCAGTTTATAAGTATAATCAGAAACTATCTGAAGACTGAAATACAAACACATAGCATGATGACTTTAACATTTCTTCTGTAATGCCCCTGTAGCCAACTGACATATTTAGACCTGAAGCTCCTGACCATATATTTCATTTATCTGCACTGTATGAGTAATAAGCCATAAATCCTACACAGATATTGTAAAATCCTGACACAGCAAAGAGTTTGAACCCCTCAAGTTTATGAACCAAGTCTGAGATCGTGTTAATTGGCGTGCTGCACAAATAATTGAATGTTTCTCAAAATGTCAAACCTTTCAGGTTTTGTATTGCTTAATTATTTCTGGCAAAAGACTTCAATGTGTGAGTATACAAGTGTGCCAGAAAAGACAGGTGCTGTTTGAGTATGAAGTGTAGGAATCCATGTCTATTCCTGAAAATACCTTTTCCCAAAACGTATCAGGAAAGGCTTAAAATACTGCAGACAAAACTGTTACTTATTTATACTTGTAAAAATATTTGCAATTGTTTTAAAAATTGGTCATTTCTAATATTTTTCAGCACAGAAGTAAGACTACAATCTGATTCCCCTATACGCACACAGCACACCCTATATTTGAAAAAAAAAAACTGTCTTAAAATACAAAATTTTGTATTATATTCTATGGATATTTTTATGTACAGGAGGACATACATTCTGAATACCCACTCATAAAACAATAAACAAAGCCACAGAACACAAAACCGATTTGGCAAGATGTCAAAATGTTATATATTGAAAAACTATAAGTGACTGTTTCATTTATTTATACAAAGGTTTGCATGTATTTAATATTTATTAAATTCTAAAGCAATCTGCTTAATTGTTGTGAACAGCAAAAATTAAATGCACTGCAACTACAAGTGTCTAGAACAAGTGAGAAAATACTGTATATTATTTCAGGGCCCAAATAGATCATAAGACATCTGATCACAGAAGCTCAGTTGCACTGGGAATGATTGTCTATTGCGCATGTCTTATGTAAATGGAATGAGAATACGCATGGATGGTAAACAAGAATATTAAATTAGACAGTTGTTCTATGAAAAAATGGGAAAATGTTCAGTTAAATGAAACTGTCAGGTACCCAATGGGACAATAATTAAACATTTAATTCCCCCAAGAAACATTTTAATTTATAGTGTAAATAAAATTTGGAAATTCTTTGGAAAGGGTTCAAAAGAAAGATTAAAGGAGAACAATGTTCAACATTCTTTCAAGAAACAAGACAGCCATAAGATCCAATACTAACATGTATTCTTAGATAAAAATTTCATTTTTTGATAATCTTCATGTATTTGCATTAATGGCTGTATAATAAGACAAATGCCACACAGATATCCACAAATCACTGATTATTTTAACAGTAGTACACACAATGGTATTTATTCGTCTTTTTAAGACAATATCTTGATATCTACAAACAACTATTTTGTTCCCTGCGTTATCAGACAAGATAAAAATTGAAAATAGCTTTTTATCAAGCTGATCTCTGTAAAAAACAAACCCTTTTCTATATTTCAGAAACTGTCATTAGCAAATAAGCAAAAACAGCCATTGAATCCTGTGTTGTTTTGATATGAGCTGGCATAGTCTTCATAATGCAAGATCAATCCAATTGACTAACAGACAAAACTAATTTTATTGACTTCATCAAAGACCAATCCACCTCAAAAAGCCTTTGTATGGGATTAATTTTTCATCTTAATGAAAAAGGAAGGCATGATATGATTAATCTGCAAATGAATGAACACATCAATGTGCTTAAGTTTTAACAGTAGAGTGGGGTAACTGGTTTACATAATGTAATAATTTTACTCAGTCTTCACTGTAAAATAAAAATAAATGTATTTATTGAATAGACTAGATTCATTTGGCAGATAGCACACCCCTAAACCCACGTTACTTCTGAACCATCTGCAAATTTGTTCACACCTATATTCCCCCCCCCCCAATAAATTAACTATTCTCAAGCCTGGGTAGTCAAAAAGGACAGTGCAATGCACAAACAAGTGAAAGCTTAAATAACAGCCTTAGCTTTAAAAAGGAACTTAATCAAAAGGCGGTGCACTTACTGCACTATGATGCACAGTTGTTTTGAAATCATGACCAATAGGTGCTTAGGTGAAAGGTGAGGATTTTCAGACAGAGAGACGAATGTCTGCTGCCCGTTTTCAGCTATACCTGTTTGTGTGAGTTCTCCCATCTCACAGACAGCATGGCTGGGCAGCCTGGGGAGAGCACTCATCACACTGTCCCAGCGGCTCTTCACTGCTCTGGACATGTGACTGACAAAGGCAGGCAGCTGAGGGTGGGAAGGTTTCCTGGGGGGGGGAAAAATCACTATTAAGAGAAGAAGGAAATGTCACCAAAATACCAAAATAGTCTTTTCTTGCTTTAGGCTAGCTCTATAATGCTATTCCCATTGGGAAATACAGAATACTGATTAATTAGTATTTACATGCTTGTGATTTGGGTATTCTGATTTGATATCAGCTTGCAAGTAAATGCCAGATATGTTGCCACAAAGTGATGCGAGTTGTTTTTCTCTGCCTCAAGACCAACATGTATCTGAACCCTAATACGGGATGTTTATTTCTGTTTTTTCATGGCCGTTAATAAACAGTTGATGAACAAAATCACAGCAAAGCATGTTCCGTTAAACACTTATAATTCAAAGAAATTTGAAATGGTCTGAAAAAGCAATCTATTCAAAATCCCAAGTTAGTTCATCCATATTTATGTGATTTTATTTTTTTGTATAAATCCTATTACATGTTCTGTGTGAAAGTTGTTGCTTTTTTTTGTCCTTTCTGTTATTTGTCATGGTAACCATCTATTCCTGTACATTCCACCTGTGAAAACACTTCCCACAGCCAAACATGAGGAAATAATGTGGGAGGTACATTATGCAGTATGTATGTTGCATCATGATGCCTCATGAATTGGCAGTGTTTTCCAATTTGAATTTTTTAAAAACAAGGCTTCAAAACGTTTTCTGAAAGATTTTTTTTGCCGGAATGGTTAATTAGCACTAACAATGATAAATACAAAGAAAATACGAATGCTAGAAAATTACAAGTTAATATGGTACAAAAGTATACAAAGTATTTGGCCTACTCAGAACACTATCAGGAAAACTGCTCCCTTTGGAGTGATGTAATTTGGCACACATGCAAACACATGCTACACACAATCTCAAGGGCAGTGAGAGAAGAACTACATTTTACTTTCTACAAATAGACTACATACCCACACAAAAGTGTACAAAAGTGGCATTAGTACTTGCCACCATATACTATTATCCAGTGGTAAAGTTCTTTCTCTGCTCCATTTTGTATGTTTGAATAGGTCAGTAAACACCATCTATACATGTAAGATATGACAGACTGAAAATCTGAACCCATTTCCAGCAAAAAGTTATCAGTGCATTTACAAGGACTTTTTTTAAAGACAGCTTACCGTACGTATTTGTCAGAAAAATAAACATCTGTATGAAATAGTAGATGGTGTAGTAAAGCAGCATAAAACAAATACATACAATGTGTACATTAGTTCACTCTACATCACAGGGTGTATATAGATTCCCTGAACTGGAGTTACCATGTATATTTTACAAAGAGGAGGCCATTCAGCCTATTTAGCTCGTCTGTTAGCCAGTAACAAACTGACACAAGAGTCTTCTCCATGTTTCTTAAAAGGTGCCTCAATATCATGACTGAGAAGCTTGATCCAGACAGTTTTAAAAGCACTTGGATTCTGATGTCCAATGGATTAATTTTGCAATTGAGAGCTCTGAATACTTCATATAAAAGGTTCCCTCATAGCCTCCTCTTTTCAAGACTAAAATGATTTTTAGCCTTTAGCCCGTCAACGTAGGACAGTCTTTTACACCAGGCCCATCTTCTCTGCACCAAATCTGAAGCAGAACATTCTTCCAGTAGTTTTCTGGCTCATCCAGGTGGTCTTTAGCAAACTTTAAATGGGTAAAAATGTTCTTCTTGGAGAGTAGTGGCTTCCTCCTTGCTATCCTCCCATGCACACTATTCTTGTTCAGTGTTTGCCTGACGGTGGACTCATGAACACTTGATTGGATTGGTGAAGCCCAGAGTCTTTAGAAATCGTTTTGTAACCTTTTCCAGCCTGATGAGCATCCACAACTCTTTTTCTGAGGTCCTCAGAAATCTCCTTTGATCGAGGCATGGCCTGCATTCACAAACCTGTGTGGTGAAGACCAGACTTTGGTAGTTTATGTTTTTTAAATAGGGCAGGGCCAACCAAACTCACACTCGATTGTAATAATGATTGACACGACTGACTCTACTTATCCCCTTAACTGAACTGATAATCCTAGAGGTTCACATACTTTTTCCGACAAAGACAATGTTGGATCACTTTGATCAATAAATGAATGAAAAAGTATATCCTTTTGTGTTTTATTTGTTTTGAGTGTTATTGTTCTTATGTATCTATTATCTATTTGTATGACTTAGATGAAGATCTGATCACATTTTAGGTCAAATTTTATGCAGAAATTCAGAAAACACAGTTTACTAACTTTCTAGCAAAACTGTATCAACAAAAATGCTTACATTTAATGCTAATCATCTCAAAAGAGCAGTGGTCCCAATATAGAATATAGATCCCAATGGTTCTCTACAAGTTAGAAAACCACATTTTGAACACCCACCACTTATCTTTACTCTGTTAACAATCCAAACATAAAGGTTAATTATGAAAAAAATGAAATTAGATTTTCAAAAACTACGAAACTACGAAAAACCTTCTGAAATCTCAATATACCAGATGACCAATATACCAGTTTCATATCATTTGTATCCATTATTACTATTGTTGTTCACATTATATTACATGACATAGAAATAAGACTTATTGGTCAATAATCTCTTGGCTCAGTTCATCACAATTTTAATGGATAGTAATTTATCAACAATTTTCCCCATTTCAATGGAATGTTTGGAATAGTTCTGTTAAGGGTTTAAGACTTTATTGATACAATATTTTTTATTAAGTGACCTTGGCTCTGGTGATTTAACCCAAGTGCTCCTTGTAGTGTACTGTCATTTCTTTTGTTTCAGATGCTAACATCACTGTTGGTTTTTCCCAAAGAATGTGAGGAAAATTAAGACCCCCCATGATGAACACTTCTCCATTTAAACATAAAATATTCTATTATAATTTATATGTGAATTCAGTGGTATAAAATGTATATTATACATGTAAAACCTTTTGAATGTTTTTTATATTTATAAACCATTATAGATTCTGAGACCCTTGCCTCGTTTAGGTTCGACTCCAGTGCTTTAATGATCTCAGTACAAAAAAAAATAAAAAAATAAATCAGGAATGTTTATTTAAGCAGTAACATATGGCTCTACTTCAAGTAAGACAGAAGTTCAGTTATTTTTCTTTTTTAATAAATATAATTTTATAAAAAAACAGCAACAGAAAATGAGAAGAGGTCAACTCATGCTAACCCTTCCTTCTATCCCTCCCTACAACAATAACCCACTTCTAAAAAGGAAAAAAAAACAGAAGCAAAATCCCCACCACTCCATCAATGATGAGAACATAAAAATATGGTATATATATATACACATATTAAATACACATTCATACAAAAAACCAAAATAAAGGAATTTCAGATGGAAGAACCAGGACATGGCAGTCTGTCTGTCCAGCATGATGCATTGGTAATTTGATTATTCTGATATTATAACTTCAGAAAGATTTTCAAAAAGTTGACTACAAGGTCTGATGATGCCATAATGTACAAAAAGATACACATGTACTGTAGATTTAACTGCAGTAACAGACATGTATGTATTAACACAAATCATGTGCTTTATATGGAATAAATGGGATTTTCCATGTTTTATAGTACACAATGAAGAGCTGGCAGTTAAAGAAATGCAGGGGAAAAAAGACACACTGTAATCTTAGAAGTTTTTAAATATTATTCTCCCACACTGAAATTAAAAAAAAAAGTTAACCAAAGATTTAATTAATTTTACAGAATCATAATTTTTAAGAAACTTAAATACTTAATTTGTCACACAAGTTTTTAATACAACTTCATGTCTATAATTTTATAGCCTTAAAATCAATAAAACTCTCAATTAAAATCAGCACAGTTTACAAAACTTTACCGTGATGGAATATAAAAATAACAAATTAATCTTAATACATTCCAAATCTTATTATCTAACCTGATCTTGGAATGTGCTTTCTTCTTGTCATTTCCTCTTCGGTTTAGAGGACATGTCAAAAAAATCGTCTCATTCAAAAACGTTGAAAAACCAGCAGATGTAATTGCTTTCAAGCAAGTTTCATTATCACAAAATACTACAGTAAGGCCATGTGGCAATAGGGTTGGTATGGGGTTGTCATTAGTAGAAAAATATGATGGTAGGTTTAAATATTTGTCCTTTCACTGTCATGCATTACAATGCACAAACAAAACTGCTGTTATGAAGTGCTGTTGAAAAGTAGTACTAAAGCAGTTAGACCCCTGAACACAGCATGTGTAATTCTACCTGTATCCCACCAGGTGGCACACAAGCACAACATGACACAAGCACAAGCAATACAGAGTACAGTCCTCATCAAAAAAACAAGGCTAAAAACCAAAAAGCTGAATTTTCTGTGTGGTCCCTACTCAACTGAGAATTTGCTACATAAAAAGTAATGAAATAGATGTGTGTATAGCGATCTACATCTATAAATACAGGGAGAGATTTTCCCTTTGGGTATGTTCTACTCCCAGACATCCTAGTGGCTGCCAACTGAATATGACTGAGAATCTAACACTTTCTTGGCACAAGGACACACTTTGATCATCCAGAATCTCGCTGTTCTGTGGATAATCAGGGAGGCTTGTAAAACACTTACTCAGCCTTCACCAAGGTCAGACTTGTATATAAAACTTAGCCCTATCTCTGACCTTCAGCAGTTTTGAAATTATAATTCTAACTCTTGGGATTTAGGGATACAGAACTGCTTTAAACCCCACAGCAGGAGTATACCCAGCTCAAGAACTTGGAAGCACCAGCAACTGCATAAGCATATTTTAAAGAGTTTTGAATTTTAAAATCTTTTAAATTAGATTTTAATTTGATGACTTTACCCCAGTATCTCCTTCACTAAAATATTGCCCTTAACTGTTTTTTTTCTACCACTTGGATAATCTGGTTTTATGTTTTATGTTATGTTTTTTCTTCCCATTTGATCACAAACATCTAGATAAAACTATTTGTATTATAGAACACAAAGATTGTGCAATACAGTAATATCAGGTAGCTTTCCCTATATTGACAGAAAATGATTACATATAAGGAAGAATATACAGTGTATTCTCTTAGAAATTAAGTAACTGCATGCTGCTATCTTGAGAAATCATAACCCTGGCAGTATGTCTGTGTTAGATTATTCCTTTTGTTACCACAGATTAATATGAAGCCTTTTGTTTATGATTTCACACTGTGTTGCTGTCTATTTTCAGAGTGTATTACACTACTGTGGTATCATGGGGGTTAAGCCAGAAATCGACCATGTGAATATTACAGGTTTAGTGCAAATTAAGCAACATAACTAGGGTGTGTCACAGGCAGCATAACTGAGATGTGGAATAACGTATCAGGAAGGCTGGGGGGGAAATACGATGCTAAAGGGAGTAAAAGAAAACTGTATTCCTGCAAACCTGCAAATGCACCAAATATTAAACACAAAAGCAAAAGTGAAATTTGAATCCAACATTCTCACATTTTTGTATAAATACAGCATGGGACAAAAAATATGTAATCTAAAAATAAAGACTGCAGCTTTCAGTGGAAAGAGATCACATTGCTCACTGTACACACAAGACTCACTCCTTCAAGTCTAGAAAGGCAACCATGTGTCTTTAAAGTGGTTTTAAACACACTTGAACGTCTTTCAATCTCCCTTTCAATCTCAATCCTACAGCTCCCTTCCTGTTGACAGAAAGAAAACTCAAATGAAAAGTAAATCCTGAATTCTTACGCATACAAAGCAAAGACAATGTCACTCCTGCAATTGAGCTTAATGAAAGTGTTCTGTCCCACTCCTTTCACCTGCTCTAAAGGGTGTGCTCTTTGTTGTCTTGTAGTTGTGGGTTAGAACAAGCCTTTGGGTGTTAGTGTCTCTGTACCTTTCAGAAGAGTCCTAAAAGTGAATTTGTCTTTAATAATTAAATTACTTTAAGTTTAGCAATATAAAGTATTAAATTAAAAAGTGTAAAAACAGGAGAGTCATCGGATACATTCTTCACACAATTAGATCTAATCTGACCCACTGAAACTCCTTTAAACAGTCCATGCAGGACATGATTCATTAAGCAATTTAACCTTGGCAGAGCTTAGTGATGGATTAATTTTCTTTAAGTTGCCAGTAATCAATTCATCTGGGAGATATTTTTTGCACAGCAGTTTATTACATTTATTACATGTTTAAACTAGCCCATAAAATAATTCAACAGTGGCTAAATTGGAGGATGTTCTTCAGTTGGGGGGGAGACAGGACTGCATTTTTTTAACACTATGAAGTCAGTTCAATGGGTTTCTTTCACCATTTTCCTACAGTGTACTGCATACTTCTAAATGGGGAAAAAAAGGCAGACACATTCCTACCTATACACACTCATGCTCCAATGCACAGTGACAGTTAGTTTGCTGTACTTGTCAGCAAATAGAACTGTGTATGAAACGTTATGCTCGTCAATTTTAGTCAACCCAACTGGCTCATAACACATCTAGCATGTCATCCAAATATACAAAGAAGAGGAGGACAGAAAAGAAATTCTTTCCCAACTTCCATCTTAAACTAGCCAAATGTCCAGCCAAAAATCAATGTTACAAGCTTTTAGTGTGAGACAATCTAAGATGTCTGTATATAGATCCTTTGATTGATACAAAATGAGCCATTTTCAAAGGGGGTGAAGCCCTGAGGTTAATGATGAGGTTAGAGACAACAACTAAACATTTAGCAATAAATGCTGAATCTGAAAACCACATAGAAATTGACCTGTTTTTAAATATTAAAAAATTATTAACATCCAGAAAGCTCAATCCCATTAAATCTGTCCTTCCTTATCTACGCACAGTCGAATAATGAGAAAATATGACTTGAAAACATTGACAAAAGGTCAGCTAGAAGTTAAGGCTCTCTATAGACTTCATTAAACAAGCCCGTTTCTTGTTTGAAGTCTTGCTTCATATTGTAAAGTGCATGTTTTATTGATAAAAATAGCTAATATGCAGAATTCTTAAGCTTAAAATATTACCTTTTAGAATATTACAAAATGTAATGTAAATATATAGCACAGATAAAGAAGGCTTTGCACAAGCCCATTAAGAAACTGTTTAATATTACATGAAACAGTATTTAAGTACATATTGAATGTTTACATTTCTTAAGATTTGAAAAATACTCTTATTAAACTACAAAAACGCTTCTATGACAACCTACTGTTATGTTGCTCAATGACAGAAAATGCCCTATGCTTTAAAAATAGTCAGAAAGATGAATAAGAAAGATGGCTATCTTGGCACAATACAGAGCATGTACAGTTTCCTCGAGGCCTGAAAGGATTCTTTAAAATAGGCAGCCTTATACCAAAGATGCAAGGAATAAATTTCATTAGCCATTATTTTTCAGTTCTCTAGTTTTATTTACACTGCTTGAGACACAGACTTGTAACATAGTTCATTACCTAAGCCTGATATCTGCAGTAAGTACACAAGACACACAGGAAAACAGGAGAACAAGCCAGAAGAAAAAGCTGTAATGTAATTCTGGGCCACAAAGGTAAATGTAACTCAGTATTAAAGCAAACATCTACAATATGAGGCTGATGGGGCATTCCATTGCAGGAGATCATAATTACACACGAGGGTAACTAACATATTTGACTTTTACAGTGAGCACAAATATTTGAAAACGCCATGACTCAAAAAAAAACTGTAGCCACCCAGCCTAAAATCACATCTGCACATGTTTTGATGGATTTTACCAAATCTAGGGAACAACCGTTAAATAACATCTGTTCTTTTATCTATTTTGGGGTAAAATGCCTGTTTCAGTCTCATTTCAGAATATCTTGTATTAATATATTCCACTATTTTGTTAAGATGTAGGGTCCACAGTATTTTCAGATGACACATTTCTAAGCAGACTCTTGAAGATGTACTGCTGAAGGCCTTACCTGCTTGGTATCAACATACAGTCAATAGCTGGCCTCTTGGTTTTAGGAATGGCATACAGTGGGTATCGGTCCCCATGGCGGATCAGGACTTGCACTGACAGCAGTTTGTAGTCTGGGGGGCTGTGACCTAAAAGCAATGATTGCAACATATTACTATAAAATGAGGCAAAATAAAACAAAGTCAGATCTTGCAGAGAAAAATACTGTTGGTAAATATATAGTGAATGATATACAAGCTGCAGTTGAAATGTGTCTTTCCAAGTGTTTTATTTGATCTCATTAGCAAATGTTTATTACCAATATATTATTGTGGGATATGACTTGTTGTAAAAAACTGGCTTCCGTTTAATCAGTAAGAGATTTATATGTTAATATGGGATGAGACAGATGAGGAAGAACATAGCATAGAGAATCAAGCAAACTGTAGATTTTACCTGAATGGAATTATAGAATTTACCTGCTGAATTATCAAATTCTAATAATCAGAATTTTCTGGCTAGGTTTTAAATTCAGGATATCTGTAGCTGTTAAAATGCAGATCCACAAGCAATGAAAATATTCTAACAAGAATTTAAAGTTCTTAAATGCTGAGGATACATTGAACAATTTAGCATTTATATAGCAGAGGCTATAACAGAGCACAGTATTAAACTAACTGGTTATAAAACTGAAGTTACGATGTACATTATGTTCCTAAAACACAAAGTAAAATTTTCTACACCAAGGCTGAAATGCAATAATGTGTGCTTTTTTACATAATATGGTAAACAACATGATCAAGCCTAAGAAAATCGAGAAGAGGAAAAATATTTACATAGTCTGTTGGAGAACATCCTTCTAAAGGAGAAAAAAACATTACATGGACTAAAAATCTAGCACACATGGTCTGGAAATAAATACAAATTGCCCCCTATAATTATCAGCTTTTAGATGACCATTTCTGATGCCCTGAAAAAATTATTACGAGTTCTTACTGTATGTGGCCTTGCAGTGAAATTATGAAGGCAATTTCTATTTACAGTTTCTGCGGCCGTACTGTGTTTTGTCACAATCTACTGGGACACTTTATTTCATCCAGCCATTGAATGCTCTTCACTAAAATATTACTTTATTTCCCCTGAAATACTTTTAGAGCATTGCCATTTATTTCAGGCTGTCATAGTTTTCTCTCAGCATCATAAGCACACAGCTGTCAATCATACAAAAGATCTTCATAAACAAAAGAAATTACAAAATGAATCTAAAAAAATATAAACTCAATTTAAAGTTTTCATCCGGAATGAAAATAAATGTGCTCCTTTCATGAGTGATATCCAATGATAAATCATAGATGATCTTAATGTTAAAAGTTACAAGTGTGCACTTAAGAACTCTCTTGCCATCAACTAGACATGCAGGATTATGAAACAGAAACTTAAAGCTTTCGAGTCTTACTGTAAAACGTGAATTGTCTGTCTCTCCATTCTATTGCATGAGCACCAATTCAATGTGATTTATGCATTTAGCTTGTTTAATTATTTAAAGAATGTGCCATGAAATGACATCCTCTCTACTGCCGTAGCACAATTACAACGTAAAAATGCTTCCCACGCAGACTAAAAATAAACCCCGCCAATTAAAATAAGCAATGTGATTTTCTCCAGTTCTTCGAAACACTGTTCTTTCAGACGGCAGTTGATAACTGTCTGAAGACAACTGAAAATGGTTGGTAGAAAACCAGCTCACCTTCCCACCCATTCTCGGTTCTGTTGGGGATATTGCAGTAGGCATAGGCTTCATAAATGGGATCAGAGACAGGAGGCTCTGTGAAGGGGACGGGAAGGATCCTCTTCCTGCTTTTTGCATGTTGTCGCTCTTCTCTCAACGGCGTCGTTGGGATCAAATTCACTACGAAATTAATTCACAGGACAAGTTCAAAACCCTCAGCTCCACCAATCCCATCTCCACTATTCAATGCACATAAACACTCACAATTATCTCCCGTTACAAAAGCAGAATTTGTGTAGTAAAAGTGACATGAAGAGTGCAGACAGCTGTACTATGGGGTCTCATTCTCATTCTGCCATTTTGCAAAAAGCAAAGTGGTGCCATAGGAATCCGAATATAACCCTTTATTCATCCACTATGCAACTCTGAATTCAAACCATCTTGAAGAAATCATTAACTAATATAAGTGTAACCTTACTCTATCAGGTCTGTTCATTCTTATTGATTTTTAGTCTTTAGCCTCATGAGAGACCTGAAGAAATATGTTCAAAAACATACTGCAACAACAACAGACGTCAGGCAAATTCTGGTAAATTCAGAATTACCAATTGTGTTTTTCAAGTGTCGGATTACAAATTCAAGCCCTTCCAGTCACACACTGCGAAGAGTGAAGAAGACCGGACAGACCCCACTGAGCCACATCTGTTTGAGCCATTCTTGTTTTCACCCATACAGCCCCACACGGGATGCACAGCTACTGTCCCACACTCGCAAGGAACTGTGGGGCCTCCGAGCCTGAGAGAGCCCTGACCAACTCATCCCAACTGTGTCATCACCCAGGTGACCCAGGTTCAAATCCAGGTGACCCAGGTTCAAATCGAAGTTTAGAGCTTAAGAAAGGGAGAAACTTTGGTCGAATTTTAATGCACAGTACAACCTATAAATAAATAAACAAATATTTCATTATACTTATTATTTTTGGGGGATTTATTGCTTTTTATATTTATTTTTATGTTTTTTGTAAAAATTTTATTTCAATAACTCTAAAATGATCAAATTAGAATTCCAGTAGTGCAACAAAGAATGTGAGGACATGGATGGGAAAAAAATGAATCTGGATATAAATTAGACTTACTCAAGCTTCAAATGTAATGTACTTTATCTTCATTCGTGCAAAAGCCATTCAACCACTATGAGCATGCCACAAGAGAAAGTTACATTCATAAATTTATAATGGTAACAGAACACCCAGCTGTCACGTGCAGCATAATACAAAACGCTTAATTGCAACCCCTTCGATTCATTACTTTGTCTTTATTTCATTTCCCTCAATTAAGCTGAATCTTCACACAATATGCCATTTGGAAGAATTACAGAGATTTCTGACAACAACTTACTATTTCCCTTAGTCTAGACGACTTCAGATATTTTATCTCAACATTTGTATTTGGCATTCAAAATTAAAAGCTTTTTTAATGAAAGATAAATCATGGAACAGAATGGAAAGATTCTTGTGCCACTCGATTCCATATTGCTTTTTTGCTGTTCATTTTTAGTGTATTGCTTTCAATGTAAGTTGCCTAAGACAAAAGAACTGGTTATAGCATATTAATTATAAGAACAAGTAGGTGCACTGGGTCTGGAAAGTGTTAAAGGAGAGCTTGTCGAACACCAGAAGCCTCTGGGAACCACTTAACCCTCACAGTATTATGAGGGCTTCATGGGAAAGCAATCAACCCCAGTGCTCTGCTGACAGCCAACAGAGCACCATGGCCCATTGTCATGATAAAGATCTGGCTCAGTCCATGGCAGGGTTAGGATAGGTAAATATTTCAGCTGTTTGCGCTTGAGGGACAGGGTGTCCCCTCACAGACAGAGAAACCTCAGAAAAACATCCAAAAACCCCTGGCAGCTGCCTATTCCAACAGCTATTTCACAGACAATGCTAACAGTGTTCCTGCACGGACAAAGCACGTTTAAATTCAACCCAGGCAAACAAGGACTTCCAGTCAATTGGGGAAAATGATCAAGAAGGTCAGGGGTCCTTCCCCGTCAAACCGCTCAGCAGAAGAATGCCAAAGGATAGTTACAGGAATAGACTGTGTCGAAATTTCAAATAAATATGGACAAACTAAAAATCCGCCGTAATCCACAATGTGAAGTTTGGATCGTACACTACAGCCATGTCAAACAGTACACAGTAAGTATGGGACCTGGCAAAATCTCGGCCGTCCTCAATAATACAAGTTCATTCTTGATGTACTGTTCAGTGAATTACTGTCATGCTGGCATCTGAATTCAAAGGCTGCATTAAGTAAAGCACAAGAATGTGCTCCTGTGTCCCAACAGCAACTGACCTTTTACTTCTTTGTGCTATGGAACCATACATATTAATGTATAATGCTTTTGTTTGAATTCGGCAAGGGCCATGAGCAACTTAAACCATGCTGGCTTAGCAGAACGAAAAAAAATACAAATTGCTAATGATCAAATATCACGAAGTTTTCACTACAAAAATGAAATATATTTTAAGAACACGTTCCTAAAATATTAAACCACAAACATTACCGATATTAAAACAATTATACAGTACACATTAAAGTGGATTGGTCTTGAAATCTTAAATTTATGAAATTCTAAAACAGCACGTTCTATTATTTATCATCAAACAAAAACATTGTTAGTTTAATATACAGGTATTAACACACAATCTTACCGATAACCACCAGAACAGACAGCAAAGATTCGGTCTGCATGCCTCTGACAGTTTACAGCACAGGGACTGTCTGCAAAGTGCCCCAACACTGTAGACTATTCAGTTCTAAGATCTGCAGTAAAAATTTCCGAATACCCAGCCCATAATTCACAACCAATCAAAATGGTCACTGGAGAGCTCAGACTAAGAGGTCTTTATATTCTCAACTAACAGGTTGGTGGCAAACGCAAACACACTATTAAAATAAATCCAGCACAAAAAGTCTGGTTTCTTACTCTGTGGTCTGACACATGCTACCAAGTTCTTCTATTTCATTACAGAAATACAGAGTAATCAAAGTAATGTCAATTAATTACTTGTGATAATGATTATGTTAATTTCATGTTATTATAAAGCCAGAATGAAAATACTTTTTTATTGGAAAATCCTTGTTTTCCCAATATGGAAATGTCTTGGGCAACATGGATGGACACTCAGAGACACCCAGTACAGTATTAGAAACACTGAAACAGGTCAGTAAATAAATTTCTGAAAACACATTATTTTTTATTTTAATTACTTTTTATTTTTATTATGTTTCATTTATATATCTGTTTGTTCAACACGTTTCGTGAATGGTTTGAGCTGTATAAAAGGATCACTAGTAGTAAAACAAGTACACTATGAAGTATTTTTCCTATATACTATACCTGCCTATGACCATCAGTATCACTGTATGTGGCATGCTCTGCCAATTAAAGCTGTGCAAAAGCAGGTCTAGCATTTAAAAAAATATTATTCCTACTTATAAAGGTGACAATATTCTTTACTTCAATATAAAAAAGAAGCTATTAAACATATAACCTGTGGTTGTAGGCAAATGCTAAATCTAAGGGATAGAGTCATGATTTGAATCGAAAAGAGAATTAATGTAGGACTTAGAGTAGAAAATGTTTCTTTACCCTAATACTGTACTGTACATGGGGGTGTTTGGATTAGGTTTCCCAGCCAGGCAGCTGGGAGACCAAACTGGGCTCCTTTAAGAACTGGAAGATTTTGTTAAACACTAAATAACCTGACAAGATTGATGGGCGTAATGTCCTCCTCTTATTTACAAGCTTTAATGTTTTGAATGAAATGCATGTAAATGAATGAAGGTCAATTAAAATTATTCATAGCTTCCTAATTAATATAATAATATTACTGGATCTGGCACAGTAAATGCAGGCATACAAGTTGCTCAGCAAGAACTAAGCATATTGAATAAAACCATCTGCCCGGACACAGTCTTACATGATGCACACAGAAAGATTATAGCATAATGAAAAATAAATGTTGCATGATTTACCAGCAGGGTAAAATCAATTTCAATCGGAGTGATTTTCTTATAAACACATCAACAGTGTCATTCCAATTTCAGATGATTCATGCAGCATCCATATTGAACTAGGGCCTCCTACTCACTTTGATGTCAAAAAGCACAAGCAAATGAATACCAACCCAATGAGGCACAGAGGAAATCCATCAACAGTTGTCAGAGTTAGGGTCTGTGCTACTGATATACAGTATGGTATATAAAAGTAAATTGTTTAATCTTCCTCCACAACTGAAATTAACACCAAGTAAACCATCCTTATTTTCAACATATACAAAAACATAATAATAGCTACTGCAAAAAATCACAATAGTAAAACAAAGTGAAGTTGCTTACTGTAATTGAAATTGTTTTACATGGATTCTTCTTCTGCTCTTAACATACAAATAGGAAGTCCTTAAAGGGAAACACTTAATACATCTTACAAATGACAGCAGTTCACTTCCAGAGCTTGAATAAAAAGTGTAAATTTATATTCAAATGTTCAATATGTTCAGAATATTAATGAACATTATACTGATTATAACTTATCATTTCAGAGTTCTGTAAAAATCCATTTTAGCTGAGAACTATTCAATGCAATCCAGAGTGTGACTCATGCCACCCACACTTATATTCTGAGTCATTACAGTACCAACCACTGCTGTAATACATGATTTTAAAGGCAGGCTAATTACTTTCAGTGGAATATGCTTCCTTTCATTAAAAGTCTTCTGTCAAAAAAACTGCTTTAAATCTAAGCTCTAATAATCACCTTTAATACAACTTTATGAAACTAAATTATTTGGGAAACAACATGAAGTTACATCACAGTGACAGTCATGACTTAGTAAAAAGCTAAGTCAATTTCAGTATTAGAATAAGACCATACTTATATCAACTGCATTCAGAGACATTAGATATCCGTTCTTTTCCATACAAGTTTCAGCACCAATTGATACAACTTGGCTTGCTAGAGCCATTTTGGGTGGGTAAGGAAACTGGGATCTGAACCCACAACCAGATGGGCAGGAACACAGAGCTCTAACCACTACTCCCCATTGCTACCCAAGCCACTGCACATATCAGATAATAATACACCAGAAAGCTGCATTCCAGGCCACAGACTGC